GTTTAGGGTTTAGGGCTTTGGGCCTGGATCCTTTAAGGGGATTTGTCATGATTTGGGCGGGAAAGGTGCCATGGTCTAAACTCCTAGTATCCCCCTTACTAACGCCCGTAATAGTCCCCTATATAGTCCTTTTTCAAATCCCCTACATAACCCCCTTTAAATTTTTCACAATAGCTCATATAAGGTTCAGGGGTGCTCCACCTAAAATCTAATGGAAAAGAGAATCGAATTTAAATGGAAACGAGGTTTAGATTGAGGTTTGTAGGGACTGCAAGGTAGGGGACACCTGGCTTAGAGATGTTTAGAGATAGTGGTATAATTAGGGGACATACACTAAGTATATTATGGCAGGACAATGAAGGATACAGGGAGTCTGTGATACCTTTGACGGACAAAACCCTGCAAGACCACAAGTATCCTGATTCCAGGGTTTAGGGTAGTTGCCCCTTGCATAATGCTTGGCAGCGCCAGATTCTCAATCCGAAAGGTCAAATGGATGTGAGACAGAGGCGGCGTTGGCACTCAAAAAAAAACACAATATGTGGGTAACAGACGAGGATTTATGGGCGGGTGTGTGTATGTGTGCGCAGGACATATGCAGGTATCCAAGGGATATGTCGGGCATACATACAGAATTAATTACATGTACCCCTATACATCTATACCTACATATACGTACGTGTGGCTGTGGGGGGATGTGGGGAAGTGGGGTTTTGCAGTAGGGAAAGGAGGCTTGTGCGTGGCTGCAGGTCATACCGTTACTATCATCTAGATCCATTCCCCCATCCCTACTCAGCACCATGGAGCATGGGGGGACAGATGGGGGATGTGTGGCGGATAGACGAAGGATCGGTGCGCATGTGTGTGTATATACATAGCGTCTAGGGGATATATGGAACTACAGGGGTGACGCGTAAGGAGCTGTCGGGCCACATGGAGCCTGCAAACGACGTAGGTACTCAGGTCAACAGCAAAGGGGAGCCCTGAACTGCTCAACATTGTGGAATCCTTCGTGGCGGCCCGCTCTTTTGTAAGAACCCAACTACACGCACCTACAGTACACTGATCCGGTAGCATCCCTACAAAGGGGGACCCGAGTATGGACCGCAATATATTATACTCCCTATTCTGGGGACTCCCCTAACTTCGGGAAATCCTGAATCCTAAACCCTAAACCCTATACATCCCAATATAACCCCTATATATCCCCTATAATCCCTTGAAGGGGACACCCAATTTAAGGAAAATCCCCACCCTAAACCCTAAACTTCAAGCCAAGCTACTGCATCTGCTCCGGCATCCTTCGCCTCCTGCAGAGCGGTGCGAATCTGCTCGGGGTCCCCGGTCTCCTCGAAGCGGCCACTGGGTTGCTGTTGCGATTATATAAAGGTAAAAACAGGCGGGGGCATTATAGGAAGAATGGAAAACGAAATGGAGACTACTACTGAGGGTTTAGGGCTAGGGTTTAGGGTTACTGTTTAGGAACTTAAATCAAGTTACCACAATAAAACTTAAGTAAAGTACCTTGACAGCAACCCAGGCCACAGGGAAAGCTCTTCTTCTGCTCCTTCTACTGCTGCTCCGAACTCTTATGGCTACTGATTATAGTCCCCTCTACGTAGATAGAATATGGCTGTGGGTATATTATACTAAGACCCCATATACGCCATATTCTATCTACTTGAGGGGGGCTATGCTTCTTACTACTTGTGCCCCAACCCCTCCTTTGCTACCACATGTCTTCCTAATCTACTGCTGTGTACTACCATCGCCTGCGCCCGGGCAAGGCGTTCGCCAACCGTCCTCAGCTGCTTTCAGAGAAGCCGGAGCTTGTATGTGGGTAGTTCCCAAAAAAAACCTTAACCATTAGGTGCTATGATGTAATCTATGACCAAAAGGGACCCATGATTTTGAGTTGTGGAACATAGGGGAGATGTTTGGCTTATATGTGTGCAAAACTAGGGGTACCTTTCGGGAGGTCTCCACAAAAACGACTATAGTATTTTGGGGGTCCATATTGGTTAGGGAAACTACCATATGCGCAAATTCGAGGTTCTATGACAAATATTCAGGGAGGCGCATTGCCACCTAGCCGTAACCGTAAACCCTGAACCCTATACCCTGCAATCTAGACCCTAAAACCGAAACCCTAGCTAGCATTGTGTCTCGTCAAATCTGCATTAGGCACCCATCCTCTGAAAAGAACAGAGGTGGTAGTTTCCCCAAAATGGGGATAATGGAAAAGAAAATGGAAACTATTGTATGATGATAGGGTATATACTGGGGGTAAGGGAATAAGGGGGAATATGGTAGTGTCCCTAATAAGGAGACCTGAACACAAACCCCAATTTATAGTCCTTATTATAGGAACCGCTAAAAAGCGACCCCCAATGTTGGATAGCCCTGCTCAGAGAGCCCTTCGTCAATTTTAACATAGAGCTGCCAGCGGTTTCGGTGAAATTTGAAGCAATTCTGCCGGCTGCTTTTATGGTGGCTCTCCCAGTACCCAAGATTTTGTCAGTCGTCTGTGTCGCTCAGATTCAGATCTTGCTGACCACTTGCAAGCATGATCAACCGATTTGTCTTTGCCCTGGTAGAAGCATACACTCCCAGCAAGGAAATGGCGATAATGCCGGCTCCGACACTGAATCGAACACCATAAGCACCATGAGCGACAACACCGAGCCAAACCAAATCCCCTGCCCACATCAAAGCTCCGATGATGAAGCTCACCAAGGGCAGCTCCACTGTTATTGGCATTCCTGCAACCCAGTCAGACAGCTTCTCATCAGGAACAAAGCCCACTTGCATGATCAGGATGGTCGTGAGGATCACGGCGATGACGTTGAAGGCCAGGCCCATGCTGCAAAGGAAAGGATGGATTGTGTCGCAGAACTCCTGGCTTGGCATCACTGACAGAAGATGATCACTTTCACACTTTGCTGACTGGGAGTAATCCAGCATGGTCAGGAACAGCGCTCCGACAACTCCGATGGTTGTCCAAGCTGCCATCATTCGATCACGGAAGGTCGAAGGGTCCAAGCTCTTCCCTAGCATGGGCAAGGTCTCCAGAAAGGGTGATCTGATCAGTGCCTTGAGGAAGGCCAGCAGCATGGCTGCAGATGGGCTTCTAGCTACGGGCGCGCTGCCCGAGGGACTTGGTAGGCTGGAGATGTGCTTGGCAAGAGAATACGCTGCTCTCAACAGCCGGATGCCTTGATCCGGATGCCCTGATCGGGCTTGCAGCCGACGAACACTTCGAGCCAAGCAGACAGTGTTATGAGGCATGTCGTTGCGAGACAGGCATGTCGGTTTTTTCTGAGAATGAAACTTTCCGTGCACTCCTCTCAACCTGAAAGGTTTCACCACCATAGCTCTGAAAACTAGAACGAACATGTATATATCCCCATAGAATCCCTGTGCATTTCGAGTTTCCATTTCATCTTCCATTTCCCTCGTCCATTTGATTCTCCTTTGTTTGGGGTCACATAAACCTATATACCTCCTCCAAAAGTGGCCCAAAGTGTCCCATAGTTTTCCATGTTTTTCCATTTGAGAAACCAATATACTGCAGAACACGCACGTGAAACCCATGCGTCAAGAACAGAAAAACTGAGTGCAGTCGAGTTTCTCTGGCATGAAAGTGGGCCTGCAACAGTGCGCGCGGCTGTAGGCGCGTAGGAACTATGTAAGGCTGTACAGGGATTACATGGAGATATATAGGGATTGAATGGGAATGTATAGGGATTACATAGGGGTATATGGGGATCATAAGGGATATATGGAGTGCAAGGTGTCAATTGAAGATCTAATGGAATATCAGATGGAAGGAAGCCGGGTGCTTGCAGAAAGAGCCAGGTCGTCGCCAAGCAAGGATGGGGACATCTCAAAATTCTGGGTCGTTCTTGGGCAAGGGTGGAATGAGTCCGACATACCTTGTGACTACCCAACAGCTGGGCACTCAAAAAAGTTGATGATATGAGAATTCTTGAAAGCTAAGGAATGAAGGCTACTCTACTTTGAATGGGCCCATGTCCCATCCAGGAGGTGAAGTGTACTCCCGCACGAGTAAGGATTTTCATGAGGTTAGAATGATCCCACTGAAGGATGTTTCAGGTCTCTGCTATGAGAAATCCCTGAGGAGGAGCCCCAGCCTGTAATAGTGACTACACAGGATAATAGGGACTATACTCGGTCCTATCTTATTCCTATTATGCCAGTATTACAGGGTGGGGGTTCCTCCTCAGAAATCCCTCATGTAGCCCCGACCTGGCCTCCTGGACGGTGGGTTCCAGCTGGCACAGGGAGGCGCGTCCACGTTTGAACCAAAAATGAGGCCTGCGGGTACCTGAAGCTGGCTTTAATAGAACTAAAGGGTTCGCCAAAAATCGTGGCCTATTCCGCCTGCCGAAAATATGCTGGTCCCAGTAGGAATGCACAAAAAGCAAGCAGGATTCCAAGAATCCACGTAGGCTTGAAAGACAATCAGCTTACGTAGCCCGGCAGAAAACATGAGATGACGTGAGAGCTCGTGTGTACCATCCTTGTTGGCATCGTACTTTGCCATCTTTGCCTCAGACGTCAGCTCCACTGACTGAAGCTACCCTTAACCCTAAACCCTAGAGCGTAAATACTTTTTCACAACAGTAAGGACCATGAAGGTTCAAGTTGCAGCGCGAAGGTTCTGCAATGATCCATGATGCTCATGGAAATATGGTAGTATCAGCACAATACGCATAGTCTTCTGCAGGTCACCGACTTTGACTCAAACTCAATGATTCGTGGTTAGGATGAATTTCTGCTTCTTTGAAATGTTCTGCTGGGATAAGGATCACTAGGTGTCGGGCTGCAGCGGTCTCCACCTTCTGCTTGCTATGGGCTTTTCTCAGGGCCTTCTTGCCTCAGACACGACCACTTCTTGGTGGTTAGTAGGGAAGAAGGGAACACAAATCCCTACATAATCCCTAATTACATAACATATTCCCTTTTCCCTGCTAACCCATTCAGACCAGGCATCATGGGTTCTCGCAAGTGTTGACACTTGCAGGCCAAGGTCCAAGCAGTCCTGGAATCGCTTCAGCTTGTCAGGGAAGCCCTGGCAAAGCAATAGCACACGCTAATGACTGTTGCAAACGAAGCACCACCATCAGAAGCTGCGTGCCCCTTTTAGTACGTACAGATTGCAGCCGACTACCACACATGTCCATCTCATCTTGAGCGCTTTGGAGGAGGTTCGTGGCCCTGCTCACCCGAGGAAGGATCGATGCGTGCTTTGAGTCCAGAGACCGCGTGCGTGGAGGACACCCCTGGCTGCTTCAGTTGCTCATGTAGCTACACCTGCTTCCCGAAGTTTTCGCTCGTTTCCGTCGTGTACGCACCTGCGACGCTCTGCTTCAGTACACCAGGGGCAGCAGCGGGCCGGATCGTCTTTGTATTCCTGGATTACGAGCCGCAAGCGCAGGGCAAAAAAGAACAGCAAATCATCCAAGCTCCGGGATGTTTCTTTGAAGCCTCGGAGTTTCAATAAGAAGTGGAGACACTCCGCAGTAGAGAGGAGGCCCTCAATATCGGCCAGCTTCTCTGTAGCTGATCGCCAGAAGCATGAATGAGTCGAAGATTCCGGACCCAGCTTCATGGCCGGGAGGCTTCGCAAGTTCAACTCCTCATCTTCGAGTACTGCCCTGGCAGGAAAGATCCCAAGGACTGAAACGTGAAAAATCTCAAGTCATTGGCACTACAGTTTGGGGACCCGCCCTCCCCCCGCAAAGCTACAGTCCACCCCCACCCATCCTGGCATGTTTCCAGCGGCTGTCCACAAGGACTAGGTGACGCACGTCCTCCCAGCGCATGTTGGAGGCATCCACCGCATCCTCGCTGGGATAGACCAGCCATGTGCCAGGACTGCCAAGGAACTCCAAGTCTTTTGAAAGGCCAGGCCGCCACTCCCTCACAGAGATGTCAGGAGACAGAAGTGGCAAAGGCGTGGCAGAGGATTTGGCCGCAGCCTCTTTCGGGTGCCGTAGGATCAGCACCTGGAGCCCCAGTTGTAGTGGCTCAGGCAAAGGCACCACGCTCTGCAAGCATCTTGAGCAGTAGAGGCGAACCCACTTCGAGCAACCCGGGCAGAGGCTCTTCTGCAAGAACTCCTCAAAGCTGTCCCGGCTGCCGATGCTCAACTCCAGCGTGTCAAGAAACGCCGCTGCAGCCCGGGTGGCGGTGCACTTCGCTGCCTCGAAAGGGCCGAAGGACACGAAGCTTCGATTCCCCAAGACTATAGGGCCTGTTTGAGACTGTCATGTTAGCCGAATGGTAGAATATGCCAGCCCAGTAATTCGTTTAAATAGATAGAATATGGTTTTGGGTAAGTTATAATAAGATCTGTAAGCCCTGAATCCTGCCTCTGCTGCCGAAGGCGCTGCGTCCAGCACACCATAGCCGTCGTCGACCATGAAGAGGTTTCCAATAATTTATAACTTGGGCTGTTCTTACGGAATTCCTATACTCAGGATCTCCGTGTTTGAGGTTGCATGAGGGGGCGTCCCTCACTTTGGAAACCCAATGAAGTATTGAGTGGCTTCGAGGTCTAGCTTATCTGTGAGCTTGTCATTCTCCTGAGCATACCACCATGAAAGTAGTTGAGCCAAAGTCCAAGTTGCAGAGAAGTCTCTGCTCCACTCATAGGGTACTACAAAATCCCCGACTTGTACCTGCAATGTCTGGACGGCACAAAGCATTTTAGGTCCAAAGTTAGAGTATCATCTCCGTACCTCCAGTTCAAACTCCAAACACAATTTGCAGCACTATGACTTACACAGTGTCCCGATTTTTTGACAGTTTCAGGTATCCATTTGCCACAGCCTCGCCCATGGTCAAGACGGCGCCACCCTCAACCAGGCACGCGGTGCAAGCCTGTCAATGAAGTCAGAGGCCCACCGTTGGTCTGGTGCTGACTTCCTTCCCTCTGATATTCAGCCACCTCCCTGTCATTCAACTTATATGCTTTCCCCCCAGCATACATTTAAGTTATCTTATGCTGAGTCTTCTTGAGAAGGTGCCTCCACAGTCCCGTCAGCGTCTTTCAGCAGCTTGTCGGTCACCTGACAACAGACGCTTGCACGGATAACCGGCACATCTATGCACAAAAAAGGAAAAAGTGTGTGAATGACAGCGTGTTGACCCACACTTCTGAAGCAGGCTCTACATCTGGATGCGAGATTGAGAGCTGCAAACAAGAAAGCCAGAAAGCGTGGCGCTGCTTTTGGTCACCCTGCTCACTCAGTCGGGCTTCTTGTGTGCCTTGCTCTTGCAGCAGCAACACCGGCTGCAACACCGGACGACGAGGCTTCCAAACCCCCAGCAAAGCTTCCAGTTCACCCAGTGCATGAAGAAGCGTAGGGCATTCACAGACATGCTGGCGACAGGGAAGTCCAGTTCAAAGATCCAGGTATTGATGGCTCTGGGGGTCTTCCCCTTCTTGGGGCACGGGTGGACATTTAGAAAATCACAGAGCTCTTCCATCGTGTGCCGGCGCGGATCCCACTCAAACAATCGCTCTTTCGGGATTCTTCGGCGGACCTCATTGAAAAAGCCGTTGTACTCCTCCTGGGTTGGCCCCTAAAGCCCCTTGAAAAATGATAGTAGTATATAGGGTCCCCTTTGTTAAAGCCATTAGGGGAAATATCAAATATTTCAGGGGCCTACCCAGTCCTCTGTTTCTGGTATCCATGACGTCATCGGCCACTCCCAGGCTTCGTACTGCCGGCGGTGGTTCCTTAAGGTCCCATCAGTTAAGCTCGCCAAAAAAAAGTCGGCATGCTTACTTGCCCCATCTTGCTGGCTGCTGCTATAAAAGACTGTAATATACCATAGTATACCATAATATTCTTTAATCTACTATAATATACTGGGAATGAAGGAATGGATCCTATATACAAATACAACACCAATATCGTATATAGTCGTTTCCATTTACTATCACTATTACTATTACCATTACTATTGCAATTGCTATTACTAGTGCTAGCACTTTTGCTTTTACGATTATTACTACGCGTACTACTACTACTACTACTACTACTACTACTACTACTATCGCAGCTCCTAGATCATGCCCAAGGACGTAATAGCTTCCATTTTCTTGTCCATTCCTTCCTTCCCAGCCCACAAACTCCCGGTAATTAGAAGTTTCAATGTTCCTTATTCTACTCCTTTGTATCCATGATCCCTAGACCCTAAGCATTATACCCCAAACCCCAAACCCTGAACCCTAAACCCTAAACCTTGCATCTTATTCCCCGTTTTACTACATTTGTTTCATCCTGGCGAGCCACATCGACTGGTGGTAGAGCCAAACCTGAGCTTGGAAAAGGGGATACACGATTTATACCGGTATGCGGTGTGTTTTAGTGTGGGGGGGCCCCATATTTGGACCCAACATACCGTAGTCCTTATTCTAGGTATCTGCTTGAACCCTAAACCCTAAACTCTAAGCCCTAAACCCTGAACTCTAAGCCCTAAACGCTAAACTCTAAGCCCTAAACTTTACACCCTAAACCCTTACCTGTGCGGGGGCCCCCAAGTCTTGCAAAGCCCCACATGGACAAAGCCCTAGGCTGCCCAGGGACCATCGGGCCGGAGACCTGGCTCTGCGTCACGAATCTACACATATCTTACTGGTCTTTAAGGGAGGGGTTAGGGTTTAGGGCTTAGGGTTTGGGGTGTAGGGATGTCTTGCTGCGAGCCGGCTGGAGGTAACATGTAGAAATGATCCAGGGGTGTGGGGGGGGGCGGCATATCATGCCTTGTGCCCAACAAACCAAGAATTGGTGTTTTGGCCTATTCTTCCCACCCCCGGCTTGTGCAGGCATCCGCCCAACTTTATTCCTTTTCGGGTTTCGGGGTTGACGCCTTAAATTCCCACTTTTTCTGTTGAACGGGCCCAGCGCAGGCAGGGTCTCCGAGGGCCTTCAAGGGCTGCGAGGGCCTAGGGCCTCAGGGCCTGTGAGAGGCTTCAGGGCCTCTGAGGGCCTTCGGAGCTGTGGCTCTGGGCCTTGTTTTGGGTCAACACTTTGGGTACTTTCTAGCTCTTCAGCCTAGAAGCAAGACAATACATGTGAATCACAGAAAAATGAGAAGGGGTCACCTAGGCGGGGCTACTGCACCAGCACCTGGAGGTGCAGCTCAGGCTCTACCTAACTCTTTAGGCTTGCAAGGTACGGTACTGGGTTGAGGCACCCTAAGCAAGCCTGGGTGGGAATTTAGGGATTTTTCTTTTAGGGCTTACGTAGGGTTTTAGGAGAGTGCGAGAGTGGATCCGTATAACAATCCGGGCCATGAGGTCTAGGGAATGTATAGGATGTCGGGATGTCGCGAAAGATGGGGGTTCCCAGAATCTAGTTAGGGGTCCCTTTTTGGGTTTCGTAGGGATCTAAAGGTTCCCAACAATTAGGGGTCTCCTTTTGGGGAGGTCCTTTAAACCTTCATAAGGACTATATAATATTTAGGTGTAACATATTGGGTTCCGCCTATTTGGGGTGCATACTTGAGTATCGAGGGATGCCAACCCTAAACCCTAAACCGTTCGGCGAGTCGCCTCGGTGATCGGAGGGTGACCCTGGCGAATCACATTCTCCACAGGACGGCCCAAGAGCTTATCCTGAGGCGCCACAACACGTGTTTTGGCGCGGTATATCTACAGATACATGATGCAACGGTATGGCGTGATTGATGAGAAATTGCATGCTGCATAACACGGTAGAACATGATGTAGTGGAGATGCAAAACAGTGCCCAAAACCCAACACCCTAAACCATTTTCCATGGCAGGAACGATTATCTCATGTTCGTGTGGATTGCAGGTATTGTCCCCCTTAAGTAGATAAAATATGGCTTTGGGTATATCATAATAAGATCCCCCTATACCCTATATTCCATCTACTTAAGGGGGACAATGTTGTCAAGCCAGGTCTCCAAGGGGCGGAGCAACCATAACCATGGTAGTAGACCCAAAGAAGATCCAGCAAACCAGTTGTGAAGACACATGACCTCCAGGTGCACCACGCGGTTTAGGTTTTAGGGTTCAGGGTTCCCCAAACATTAGGGGTACCTTTTGGGGCTACCTATACTATGGATTAGACTAATCAATTAATCATTTCCCCCTATCTATGCAAATTACAACCTGGTTTTATGTTTTTTAATGGCTGAAGCCCCATGTGTGCAGCCAAAGCTCAAAAAGCTTGGGAATAAAGGTATTGAGAGATTTCTTCCATGCGCTGAAAGTTCTCCAGCTCAATAAGATCACCTGCCCCACATGTCAGCTGTACGGATAATTGGCACACCCCAAGCAACTCACAGCAATCACTTCAACTTCATCAGCTTCATGCTGGTCCTTTGCATCGGGGCTGAATTCTTCGAAGGCCTCCTGCAGCACCTCACAGCACCAGCAAAAATTGAGCCAGGGCACTGCGCAAGATACTCTACACAACATGCCCAAGGACATGCACGGAATAGTTTATCCGCCGACATCAAAGGGAAGAGCTAGCAGGCCTCGAGACCATCAAACGCAATAGCCTCCATCCGGCAACGTGAGATCCTCCAGCCGGCACATGAGCTATAGTCTAAACTCCTTGAAGGGGGGTTATATAGGGGACTACTATAGGGACTATAATAAAAATGAGAAATGACCCCCAAGGAGACTACAGAGAAAGCGTCTTGCGCATCATCATCGCCGCCAACGCTTTGTCCCCTTTCATGCTGTGGGCCAGATTAGATTGGGACATCCTTAGGAGCTCAGACTTCGATTCAAGATGCCAAAAACAACGACTGCTAAGAAAATGGGAGCAGTATGAGCAGTAGTAGTAGTAGTCGTCGTCGTCGTCGTCGTCGTCGTCGTCGTCGTCGTCGTGGTGGTGGTGGTGGTGGTGGTGGTGGTGGTGGTGGTGGTACTACTACTACTACTACTACTACGATGACG